ACAGAGTCTACAATTTTAATAAGAAAAGCAGACATGATAAAAAAACATACTGCGTTCCGCACACGTACTTCATGGATTTTGCCGAAAGATACGATTTTTAAAGTAAGATTGTTTTCATATTCTTTGGGGCTGAAACCTAATTTTCAGACTTGAATAGGTATATATATTTTACACTATAAATTCACTAATAAAGTACTAACAAGTGTCGTAGACGTAGACACATTTTATTTCCGAGCCCCCATTTTTTTAAATACGGCGCTAGGTGGAATAACACAAGCTACAAAGGTCATCATCGTTTCCCCACGCTTTGGTCGTAGGATAATAATAATATACATAAATTATAAATATAAACCGAAGTACATTATTTAGGGGCATACATTTCAGTTTAATTTATAGAAAACCTATTATATAAGACATAAGATAAGATTCTAATTTATAACTGGTAATTTTTTTCCAAATCTAATATTACTTGAACTGTCAACCTAATATCTATGCCATATTTAGGTATAGGTAACCTTGCATATTAAAAAAAAAAAAATTTAATTAAAGTGAGTAGTCAACTAGTGATAGGTACAATAACCACCTTCTTCGCCCGTTTATAAATAATTTCCTAGTATATCTATGTAAATATAGTGCTACACCTAGGTACATAAACACGGACGTTCTCGTGTAACTTAAAATTAACTTAAATTATAACAATTAATATTAGATTTTATATTTATTTTTTACATATAGGTATATTACATCACTATTATTGCATTACTATTTATATCTTGTTTTCTTGAACACAATGTTTCAAAAACAAATATGTATATAAGTTATTGAAATAAAATAAACTGTAATAAGTACCTAACAGTTATAAAGCCTTGTGTAAACTTTTAAAATAAAAATGAAGAAATCGTTAAAGAGTATAATGTTTTCCCGGTAAATAAGTTATAGTAATAAAATATAAAACTTAATATACCTTTGAATAAAATATTTTTAAAAAATACTAACACATTATAACTAGGTAGATATAATAAAAATTAAACATATGACGGATTCTTGAAATACTAATACACATTTTTTTTTCGTGTATAATTTATGTAATGCCTTAGGTTAACGCATAGTCGCATAGGTCATAAGAATATTGTTGAACATTTCACTGGCTGCAGGTTATTTCAAAGTTGGTTAGGTTATGGTATTCGTCAGTGAAAATTTGTCAATAAATATCATATTCAGCAGTATGAAATGTGTCAACGTTGCAGTGTTTCAAAGACTAAGTTGTACAACAGATTTTGATTCGGACATTGCGTATGTAATTTTTTATTTTTTAGTAGGTTTATTTTAATATTGTTAATTGATCAGGGTTTTTCGGCTATTCCGGCTATCAACAAAATCATGATAAAAATTAGGAAATGGTCTGGTATAATATTTTTTTTAGTAATATTTAAATATGTTCACCGATTATCAGGTGATATGACTCGTAGCCTATGCCCTATAGGTAATATAGGGACTGTGAGAATAAGAAGTGTATGAGATGGCGAAGATAAGGAGTGTGATTGTGGCAGATATAAGAATGTTGAGTTGGGTGTGTAAAGGACAAAGAAGAGGAGAGTAAGAAATTAATTCATTATAAGTAGTGTAAAAGTTGCATATATTGTAGTGAAAATAAGAGAGAATAATGCGAGGTGGTTCGGTTACTGTATGATAAGAAGCAGTGAGAGTGGCTATAGAAGTAAATTTAGGGGAAGGAAAATGATAAGAAGGCTGAAGAAGAGATGGATGAGAGTGCCTGAACCTGTATAGTTAGTCAGTTAGAGAGAACTAGGGAAGGGAGAATAGGACGTGTGGAGGTAAAATAGTTAGGTTAACAACGCCGAATACATTAGAAAGGTTTTTGAATTGCAAAGGCCACTCGACTATTTTGCTGAAACTACCAAGTTGATAGGTTGAAAACCTTGACTTATGGGATGGAATAAAAAGGTCGGTAGGATGTCAGAGCATTTGTTTTCTTTCTTTGACCCACGCTTAACAAACTAAATGTACGATTAACAGAGCCAACCCTATATTGTTACTTTAAATATTTGGTTAAATAAATAAGTGTATTATTTATTGTAATTTTATTGTATAAAAAAAAACTAAGCACGATTTTCAACAACCCATTAACACGATATAGTAATGATTATATTCCTGAAAATGCATACCTCACATAGAACACAGTGTATACAGCCTAGCGCCCTGCGTTTTTTGATTTTAAAAATCGTTGTACAGAATTAGGAAATATTTTCCGAGACTATTGTACCGCGTGATGCCTGCATACTGCATATAACATTTACATAGGACATATAATGTGACGAAACAAATACCTAGGCAATTAAAAATCTGAATTTTGGTCTACAGCTATCAACAATATTTTGATGGATTCCTCACGAGAAAGCATCCACAATAGTTTCTTAACATTTTGTACATTTTCCCTAACAGGTTGGCCTGTTAAATGTATTATTCGCCGAAGCTGTTTATGGTTGTTGCGGTAATTATTTGTAAGACATTTTAATTCTGCTCCAAATATTACACTTCTACGGTACTTAGTATCAATAATTATTTAACGATTTATGAATGAATTTTTTAAATCAAGTATGTACTTGGAAATAATATTACCCTACTAGTAAAATAATATAATGGTCTTTAATGGAAATGGATAACTACGAAGTATGTAGGATAAATACATTGCATATATAATGAAAATATAAAGATTTGAAATAGTAATAAATTAAATACAACAGATTGTTTACCTTGAGTGAACGATAACATTCTATACACGCTGATATAAAATAAAAAGGAGTATTTTACATTTTTGACTTGGGTAATTGATTTATTAAAAATGATAGACAATATTAAAACAGACAATATTGGTATTAAATGATTAAAATCATTTTTTTTTTAAATTCAGTAATCACCTAAACTAAGGTAATATTTCAAGTGACATACGAATTGTAATTATTATCTAAAAGAAAAGCAACACCGTACTTAAAATTGTTGTAAAATGAAAAAATGGACGCGTAGGAGTACTCTTTTACTCTTGTAATTAATTATGTAAATGTTTCTGTATGTTATTTTTCTCTGGGATGGTTGAATTCTATTCGTAAACTGATAATTCATGTATCAATAAGAAATAATAACATATTTATTCATTATCAAATTTTTACACAAAAAATATTTATTATGTAATAAATACAAATAAAAAGAATACAATTAAGGCGTGGTGGGGGCGTGGTGGTTGGCAGCAGTCCCCAATGTGTGTCAAGCATCGACCGGCTTCACTAGCTCCCGGGTGGGTCACCACTTGGGTGTTTGGCAATGATTCTTCGCTTCACATGACACATACACACGCATTACTCAAGCCCAACCGCGACAAAAACAAAAAAAAATAGTAATGACCATAAGTGCTGATGATTTGGACCAAAAAAAAAAGAATACAATTCTACACAATTAAGAATATTATAGTTTAGTTTGTGAAAATAATTGGCAATACGTATGTAAATTGAGATATTATAAATTATAGAACCTTTTATAATTATAACTATTAGTGGTGTCGGTCGTTGGTAGTTGAAGGGGGAGAATTTAAATTCCAAATCATGCTTCGAGAAATTAATATAATAAAATTATTTAAATACGTTATGAAGTTGCTCCAAATTTCAACGTCTTCCTAGAATTATTATAGAACATATTATTATGAAGCTTAAAAAATTAATTTAAAAATGTTGCTTTAAAGAAAATGTTTCACCTCCATGTGTAGTCAAGTCTTAAGTGTTCAAGTGTGATATACTGATATGTATCAAATTTTCATTCAGAAGTTATCCTTAAGCTTCGTTAATTTCAAATAATAATTATCACTCAATCTAATATGTGAATGTGTGAAAAGAAATGTCGCATATTTATCTATGTGCTTTAAATTTCTACAATGGTGAGATGGGCATGACTCCGTTCATATCGTATATGGTGTCCTAAGGTGTCAACAATCAACAGTTAAACTTGGTAAACAAACATTCGGGATCTTTTTATTCAAAGTGTCTTAGTTAACCCTCCGTTAATTTTGCGTTACCCTAATACTATTTATTGTTCTACCATCATTCAGATTGATACAGTTATACACCCAGTGGCCTAGCAAGCGATCCCTGGGGTTTGGGCATTTAAAGTTTAAACCCTGTCCCTCCCATTTCATAAACATTTTTTAACTTCAAGGATACATTTGATTAAACATTTAATACCTAATAAACGACTTGTGAATAGATTTTCAAGTTAAAGTAGGTATCTGATGATTGTAGACTGTCGTCTCTATAGTTCTAGCCCAATTAATTTTTTGTTGTGCTTGTAGGTTCCTCTTACAATTTCTTTAAAATTCAATTTTAATCGATTTTTATATATTGGGACATTTAAAAATAAATGTTTTTTGCTCCTTAAAATACGTTGGAATGCGGGCGCCAATGTTCCCCTTCTTATTTTTATTTTCATTGATTTATATTATCTCTAGTTAATAATTGTGTATATAAATTGTTTACAACTTCTGTTTATTGTGAATAGTTTTTTTGGTTTAACAATTTGTAGTTAAAGATTGCATGTGTATCACTAGTCACTATTGTATATTTTTTTTGTTATTTTTCTTCTTGGAATGCATTTGTTTGCCTCAAGTTGAATTCAGATTCTGAGTGTTGCGATAAATTACGTATTGATTTTACAATTATGCGTGTCCGTCATCACCTTTTGTGGCAGTGAATGTGCTTCGATTTTCTTCAGTAGTATCTTTTCTGGTAGAAAATTGAATCTAGTCGGTACTCTAGGGCAGGCCCGTGAGCAGGATTTCAGAATGGGGGGTGTTTTGAAAAAAAAAATTTAAAACATAGATACATCAATAATTAGCAAATAGTATTATAACATATTTATATTTATTATTAATTTTGTAAGTACCTATGTTAAATGTGTTTTTGAACAACACCTACTTTAAAATACAAATCATTTTTTTAATAAATTAACTCGACGAGGCCACGAGGGACAGAAAAGAATTGATTCAGTGCTTGATTTATGTCCACGTTTATATCACGATGTATATTCAATGATGCCAGTCCATTTAAGCGATCTTCGCCCATTGTTGATCGTAGGTAAGTTTTCAGCCGACGTAATGTTGAAAATGACCTTTCATTAGTCGTTGTAGTCACAGGCAAAACTGACATTACTCGTAACATTTTATGGACATTTGGAAATGCATCTGCATTACAAATATCGAGGGCATCAAGGACGTTTCGAATATTTTTACCAACTAGTCGTCGTCGCCAAATTTCTACCTCACTTATCCAAATTTCTGGGGAATCGTCGTGTAAAATTGAACTGTAGGTTTCAAACAACATTTTACAAGCAACTTTGTCTAAAGATTTAGTTTCAACAGGAAAAAGACATGAGAAGTTGGACAAAATATTTCGATGTTTAAGGAAGCGATCTTGAAGATGAGTGATAAATAAATCATGATATGGTATGTAAATAATAATTTTATAATAATCTGCTACGGAGTCTGTTATAATGTTAGAACGGTTAGTTTGGCGTGATGCAAGTCTTGGTTTAGTCACAGGTATATTGTACTTCTTACAAATATCTTCTACAGTCACAAAAATGTTGTTGAAGTTTTCTGTAGAATATTGTCTTCTTTCTTCAAGTTCGTGTTTTGCTGCATCTGCTTTCTTAACAGCCTCAACCAAATATTGATTTTCTGTTTGTAAAACTCTACTCAATGATAAAGCCAATGCGTGTACTGAATGCAAAACGTGAATTGACACTTGAAACGCCAAGGTTTTTATTGCTGAAAGGAGTTGAAAAGATCCGGAGGTTGTTTTTGAATCTGTCCAAGTATTTGAAATGTTTTCTAAGGCGTCAATAACAGCTGGTTGTAAATCTATATAGGTTCCAATTGATTCGTGTTGTTGTACCCACCTTGTTGCGCAGTATTTTTTAAGTTTTTTTTTCTTTTCTTGTAACAAAGTTTCATTATTTTGTATTGCATCATGAAGTGCAACAAGTCGTTTTGGTGTATTAAAGAAGTTGTAAATAGATTGGACTGTACCAAGACAGTTTCTAATTTGGGGGATACTACATGCGGCACTAACTGCCAAATTGAAACTATGGGCAGCACAGTGTGAGTAGATAGCTAAATGATACTTTTCTCTGATATACGCTTGAACTCCGTGAAATTCACCACTCATAGTACTAGCCCCGTCATACCCTTGTCCAAATAAATACGCACAGTCAATTCCAGAATATTCAAGGAAATCCAAAATAACATTTGATAAACCTTTCCCAGTTACATCTGCTACAGGTACAAAACTTAAAAAATCTTCACATATTTTTAATTTACCGTCATCATTATTTAAATACCTTACACATATTGAGACTTGTTCTATGCCAGCAATATCGGCAGTTTCATCTGCTGTTACTGAAAATGCTTGAGATTTATTGACTCGTTCAATAATCTGCTTTTGAATTAAATTATGAAATATAACAATAAATTCGTTTTGTATACGGTTACTGATATACATGGCATTTTTTGCGGAATTTTGTAAAAAAGTATTAAGCTGATCGTCAGTTTTTGCACGATATCTCAAGAGAGCCCTAAAGTTACCATCGTTAGTTAAAGGTTCTTCGGAGGTTATTCTCCCTGAATCATTTGAACCACGAAGGGCCAAACCCTGCCGGCCACATAATATTAAAGTTTCGATTATAGGAATCAAACATTTTTTACTTTCATTAATGAAATCTAATTGTTGTTCCGAAATTTGTAAATCAACTGGTAAAATGTTTTGGTTATCAATTTCTGCTCTCATATTTGATTTTAATAATGAAGTTTTATGATACTCTAGTGAGTTATGGTAACTAAATGATTCTAAAGCTTTTTTCCAGTTTGTAAACGGTTTTTTAACTAACAGTCCCAAATTTTGATGTCCAATTCCTCCACCTCCGACAGAAAACAACACACAATACTTACAAAATACGCCATTCAGAATTGCCGAATAAGCCAACCATTTATATTTGAGCAACCAACTTCTTTGAAACTTTAAATTTCTTTTTTCGGAAACAGGAAATTTATAGTCTTCTGGAGGTGTCCAAATCAAATTTTGAAGTCCCGGAAACAAGTCAATAGTTTCAGTTGCAGGTTTATTCACATATAATCCTATGTCATGTGGGTGCACAATCTCTGGAAGTGACACTGATACATTTGTTTCTGGAGATGCATTTTTCGCTGGTTCAGTTGGTTGTGACTGGTTATTAAAACTATTTTCCTGTAAATAAAATGTAAAAAATAATAATTGTAATTTATAATATTATTATAAATAAATTATATTTATAAATTATAATTAATTTTAATGTACTTACTATCTCATCATTTTCTAGCCGTGGTTTTTTGAAAAAATTTCGAATGTCCATTTTTATGTTATTTCTAACGTAACACTATAACTAACGTCTCACTGTGAGCTTACAATCGTTTTGTATGAACTATAATTATAAACAACTTTTAAAATACCCGAAATCCGTTATCGTGTAATCTCGTGTCCTACTAATTGCGGTCGAATAAAATATTATTGTGTGACGTGTATGCTCTATACTTATATTCATACATTTATTGTCATTATATTTTATCGATAACGGCAACGATTACGAAAGTCGATAAACAGCAAACGTGAAGACAACACTATATT